TTACCTCTACTATGAGGCATTTGGATAAGGTCGAGGTGAGGTTGAGCCACACTAAGGAGGAGGTTGTGTCCAAGTTCAACACCACCGAAAACTTCAACGTCATCTCCGATGACTTCGATTTCAATCGCTGTAAGAGGAGGATCTCAAGGCTCTTCTTGAGATTGCTAAAGTCATAGGTGAGCTAGAGCTAGCCTTTAAGACCATAAGGAGCCAGAGCAGTAGGCCACGGTGACAAAATTAAAGTTTGGATTGGAAACAAAGTGATCGGCTAGACTAAGGGGAATGAGAAGATTGGCACAGTCGACCCTCTAAATGAGTAGTGATCCCCAAGCCCTTCCGCAGAGAGATCTTCAAGGATTTTGACTATCCTGTCTTCAACTTTCTTTTCTCTTCTTGAAAACTTGCAAATAAATTCCTGATAAATGAAAACTTTTGAAATAGGTTGAAATCGAACCAAGGTCTCCTCTTGACTTTGTTTGAATATGACCGAGGTCTAGCATCGTATCTATAGGCAATTAATTTGGATAAACTCTTTGGCTATGTACTTGTGACCTGGTTTAGATATGGCCGAGGTCTTCTTTGTTTTTGTAAGCTCGAATTGAGCCCAAGGAGTGAGGATCATGGCCTTTCTGAGCTCTTAATTTTTTGGTTTTAATTTGTCTAAGTGTGGGAGCTTAGTTAGGTGAGCTCATTTGTGGTCTTTGATCAGGTTGCTAGCTACTTGCAGCACTAAGCCAAGGAGCTTATCCCATGGGTTCTTGGGTGGACAAGGTTGTATAGACACCATGTTTAGCAATTTAGACTAGTTTTCCTCATGCCATGAGTGGTTGGGATGCCATTCTTATCGTGCCTAACCCCACTCAGGCACATAGAGATGATACTCGATGCCATCAATGTTTGGCAAGGTCTACAGGTGCGTAGTTAGTACTAGGTGTATGCAGTGCCATTAGTGCTCGATATCGTCATGAGGCGTGGAATGAAAGAAAACGCATATTTTATTTCTAGAATAGTTTTAAGCACAAAATTTCGTTCGTCATCAAGCTCAATGCCACTCATTAATAATACCTCCTTTGGTATATATGTAGAGTTCCAACTACAAGGTACAACATTTCCATCAAGGTCTTTTAGCTAATAAGAGCTCAAACTTTGCACTTTACTGACTTTATAGGATCCCTCCCAGTTTGGTCCTAACTTTCCAATGTTGGGCTTGAGCGCAATAACCTTTCGTAATAAAACGTCTTTCATCTTGAACTTTCTGCCATGGATTCAAGCATTGTAATACCTAGCTACCTTCTATTGATAGGCAACCATCATTATTTGAACTCAGTATCATGTTTCCCATAGGTCAAGGTTAGCCCAAAGATTTTTGTTGTTACTTGCTTCATCATAGTGTTCAGTTTGGAGTGTAGGAGAACCAAATTTTACTGGAATTGTAGGCTCAATCAAGGTTCAAAATTTTGCAATGTATTGGCCGATTCGTATTGTATCTTTAAGGGGTTGCCACGGGAAATGCTACAAAATCATTTTTGTCATGTCAACCCCATATTGGGGTGTACCGGTGTATTGGGACTGTATCGGATTGTATTAGCCGAAATAGTATGATTTCCTATACGTAAAAAGTGAATTCATTTTTTTTTTGAGAAAAAAAAAGGCTTTTAACTCTCTCCAAAAGCCTTTTTCTCTCTCCCAAACTCACCAAATTACCCCAAAACATTTTTGGATTGTAAAATCTTTAAAAAACCCAAAAATAACCTCCAAAACTCAACAATTTTGTGGTTTTTAACTTTTTACAGAAGTTGCAAAAATAAATACTTTTTTCAATTTATTTGATAGTATGTTACAATATTTTGTGATTTTTTATTGCTTGGAAATGCTTTTATATACATATATTTTCCTTATGTTGAAAATCCTATACTTTTTGTGCTTTAAATAGATGTATTTAATATTTTAAGAAAGTTTAAAAAAATAATATTTCATATTTTTGGTGTAATTTTCCCATGAAGAATAATTGTGCCATAGATCTATGAGTGATCTACCACATCCATAGATCTATTAAAATTTCTAAAATATTCACTTTTTATTTTTTATAATTTTTTCAATAAAAATATTTATTTTTTAAATTTTAGTGTGTATATATATTAAACTAAAAATATTTATTTTTAAAATTTTTATAATTTTAAGACAATATTTTTCTAGTTTTAATTCATATATCTATTGAAATTTATTATAAAATATTTATTTTTTATTTTTTATTTTTTGTAATATTTACTTTTTCTAATTTTTGGTGTGCTCTAACCATAATATTTACCATGTTGTAAATCTATGGATAATCTACCACATCGATGAAATTATTTTTTTGTTACATTTTAAAAAATTTTTATTATTTTTATAATAAAATATAAAATAATTATTTGAATAAGAAATAAATAATTGTTTACACAATTATAGAAAATATTTCATTAAATAGTTATTAAGCTTATATTTTGTAGTTATAACATTATTAGAGAATACCCTTATGTTTCTGTATGTTGATTATGACATAAGTTTTTCAGAAAAATCATTGAAGGACTTGTTTTTGTATATATATCTCATTTAGGCCATATATTTAAAGTTATTGATGTATATTTATAATTTATTGGAGTATATATAGTATTTTCATGTGTATTTTAATTTTTCGTCCGTATCCATGCTTATCCAAGGTGTATCTGGATACATCTCTTAAATTTGCCTTTCTGATATACTTAGTGTTTCTGATACTTTGAACCTTGGGCTCAATACCAAAGGTGAGGTTGAAGAGAGTTTCATTGGTGCTCGTCCTTGTTGTGGTGTGGTACGCTCAAAGAATACTTGGCAACTTTTTTTTAACCTATATTCTCTTAGCTCGGTCTAGGCATGTCTTTAATCCATGTAGTAGAGTATGGTTTGAGACCTCAGTCTAACAGTTGCTTTGGGGATAGTGGATGGTTGTGAATCACTACTCTATGCCGAGTTATTTGTAGTATTCCTAGAACTTTCTATCCTTGAACTAGGTCCGATTGTCAGGTGTGCTGAAATGACATATAATAGATCTCCTAGTGGAACCCTTGGGCATTATGGTTGTGATCTATGTTAAGGGCTTGACCTCGACCCACTTTGTAAAACAATTGACAATTATGAGGTGGAATTTCTTTTGGCTTGTTGTAAGGGAAATGCATTGAAGATGTCCATCCCCCATTGGGCAAAGGGCCATATACTATTGATTAGTGTTAGGGGACCACATGCTGACAAGAAATGTTAGAGTGCCTCTAAGTAATGATTACACTTCTATATGAGTTGTATAGTGTCTTGCTTCATGGTTGGTAAGAAGTACCGCTACTAAAGAGCTTTTGTCCGTAAGTGCTTGGCTCTCAAGTAAGTCGCAATAAATTCTTTCATGTATCTCTTGGAACGCTAGTTTGCTTTGTTGGGGTTAAGTCACTTCAAATATGGAAAGGTATGAGATCTTATGTATAAGTTCCCTTAAATAATGTAGTACCGAGAAGTTCTATGTGCAATCCTTTTATTTTCAGCTCAATCTTCTAGGAGAGTGCCATCTCAGAGGAAGTGGAAACTTGGGTCTATCCAGCAATGCTAGAAGCAAATTGGGAGAGCATCCAATGTCACTTCAAAAATGGTGGGTTGTGGAAGAGTGTCTATACGAACTATTCCTCTGAGGTCTGAGTGAAATCAATTCAGACATTCTCTAACCAAGGTATTTACTCATAGGGGTGTAAACGGTATTCGAAAATCCGATATAATGAAATCAAATTTGGATAATTCAAATATCTAATCGGTCGAATTCGGATATCCTATTCATATTGAATAATTAATCAGATTCGAATTTGGATATGACCTTATTCGATTTGATAATATCCAAATTCGACCGATTATTTAATTCTTATATATAATATATAAAATCTTTTATATAATTTATATGTATAACAATTAAGTTATATAAATAATTTATATATTTATATATTTTATATAAATAAAATATTTATTTTATATATTTATTAATTAACTAAAATAATTAATTAATCGAATCGAATATTCGAATATTTAATCAAATTCGAATTTGTATATTAATTTTCAATATCCGTCCGTTATCGATCGAATTTGGATATTAGATTTTCTAATCGGATTCGAATTTGAATATTGCCTAGTCCGATTCGAATTCGACTTGTTTACACCCCCCTATTTACTCAATGGAAAAGTGTTTCAATAAAAAAAAAAAAGAGCTCTTGAACCTTCTCCAAGTAGCTCACTATGGTAATTCCTGAGCTTCAAACTTGCCACTAACTTGGTTCACCATAGGTTGAGATTCACGGAAGGACTTAATGCACTCTGCACTAACCTACTAGGCTAGATGATTCTTAGCAATGAGTGTCTCATATTATGCTTTGTTGTTGGAGGTCTTAAAGTTAAACCAAAGGGCATGCTCCAAGGCAGTTTTTTCTAGTCAAAAGAGGAAACCAGCACTACTGCCTTGTTGATTCAAAGAGTTATCAACATGGAGAGTTCATGTTAAAGGCTTCTCGACAAGTTTCAAGGTGAAGAAGGTACGTTTTACTATGAAGTCGGCTAGGACTTGTGCCTTGATAGCTAATTGAGGTGCATGATTAAGGTTGAACTTGTTGAGTTCTGTGCTCCACCTGATCAAATGCCGTGAGGTCAACATGTGGGTACTTCAGCTTGCATTACCCCAACTCTACCAAAATTTGATGAGGATAAACACATCATTTTGCAACCAAAGCATATCTGGGGTTATCGTTGGATCAAACAGCATCAACAACTGGTATGGGAAGCTTTAGTCGAATGGCAAGGACTACCTCCAGAGGATGCAACATGGGAGGCCTAGTCAATACTAAAGCAACAGTTTCCTCACCTCATCCTCGAGGACAAGACTGCTTCAGAGGGGAAAAGAGCACATGGGTTAAAACCAACTATGCAAAATCCAGCTGTGCAAGAGACAAGTGGTAATCTTGATTCTTGAATTCTTGAGTTGTTACAACTACCAACTTGTACATCTATAAATAAAAGGCAAAGCAAGAAGAAAGTTACCTAAATTCAACCCAGAAATCTCTCTGTTTTATCTCTTCTCTCGTTTCTTCTCTAGGAGACCACACTATCTCGAATCAGTGTTTGTGTTGGGCAGAAACCCAACACATTAGAGGAGAGGCTAAAGTAAAGAATGAAGTGACTCACATCTTCCTCCTTGCTCACAATGCGCTTATTGTCACAACACAAGCTTTCCCCTCCCACTATTTAAAGTCCACTACATGAATCCTGTTTGCATTTCCACGCTAACAAGAACCATATCCTTTAGATTTTGAGTCCATGTGTCATTTGTCAGTATCTCATCCTTTTCAGCTTTCCCCTAGCTCGTCTAGAACCATCTGCTTGCATCAGTTCATAACCCCTGAAGTGCTTAATGATTTTATGGTAAGAAACTAATAATCATTTGACTGCACAATAGCATTTATGTGGGCCAAGAAGAAATGACTTTATGGAGGTACTTGCCTCCCAGTTCCAAGGCCTACTGCTGTCCCCTTCAAACCCCAAGGAACCCTCCCCCACTTACAAGACATTAAGGCCATTGTTCTCATCAGAACCTATATCAGCAAAAAAATCAGGTTATTTGTTAGTATTGGAATGCAGATAAGCAATTCTAGCTACATGCAGGATCAATTATCAGAATTGTCCATATAAAGTATGATTGAATGGCTAAAATCATTAATAGTATCATGCACAGTTTTGATACATGAAACCACATATGGGCAAATCAATTGGATGAATAAGATGGGTATGTGTTGTTCGTAAGATTGTGTTATCTAAACTCAATATTTCTCTTCTCCAACTATTTAAATTAAATCAACAGGAATAATTCATACAATAATCTCTTCCTACCAATAATCAAGACAAGAACAGTTACCATCTTTAAAGTGGTGAAACCTACTCACATCCCTCACTATAATTTCCCTTTCAAACACCTTTGAGATAAGCTTACTGACTTTATGACAGTCTTCACAAACCCTCAAGTTCTTAACTATTCGAATGCAATTCCCAGTCTCAGTCACTAACAAACCAAAAGCAATTGCAAGCCTCTCACTGTGCTCTTTAATCACAATCGCCTTTTCCTCCTCCCCAATGTCATGCAAGACAGGTGAAATGTCAGGTGAGTATCCAACTTCTGCTAATCGCCCATCGATCACTTCTAACATCATGTAAATTTCAGAAGAACGCTCATGTTCCCTATCCCCTGCTATGAATTGATGAACCTTTCCTTGTGCTTCAATCAAGCTCCATCCTGCAACTTTGCTGGTGCCTCGGTCAACCATTAATCTTCTAACTCTAACCACATCTTCCCATTTATTTGCTTTGGCATATATGCCAGCAAGAAGCACATAGTACCCATCATGGGTGGGTTCCAATTTGATTAGTTTCTTCCCAATTGTTTCACCCAGTTCTACTAACCCATGAATCTTACAAGCTGCCAGTAGGGTTCCCCATAATACAGGATCCGGTTGGATTGTCATTTTCTCAATCAATTCAAGGGCATCAGCTACATAACCTGCACGACCCAAGAGGTCAACCATACACCCATAGTGCTCCATCTCAGGCGTGATGCCATAATCTTCTGTCATCAGCCTAAAATAGTGTTTGCCCTTGTCAACCAAACCTGCTCGACTACATGCATTCAGGACCCCTACGAAGGTCACATTCACTGGTTGGAGTCCTTCACCCCTGAGGTTCTCAAACATAGCAAGAGCTTCATTTCCGAGGCCATGGGAGGCCAACCCACAAATCATGACGTTCCATGTCCAAACGTCTCTTTGGGGCATTTTGCTGAATATTTGTCTAGATTGCTCAATGCAGCCACATTTTGCGTACATGTCGATAAGGGCTGTACTAAGCGAGACACTCATAGGGAAGTTTAAGGATTCAATAGTGGAATGAATTAATTGGCCATGTTCAAGCAAACCCAATTGAGCTGATGCCGAGAGGACTGTCACCAATATTGCCTCGTTTGGGAACAGCCCCTTCTCTCTCATCTCCCTAAAGCATTCCAAGCCCTTCTCAAGGTATCCACCTTGGACATAACCCACAATCATGGTACTCCAAGAAATCACATCTCTATCAGGCATTTCTCCGAACAGTTTCTCCGCTATATCAATCTGACCACCTCTAGCATGGGTAGCAAGAATTGCATTCCACGTGACAAGATCACAGCACTGGGGGTTCTCGTCAAACACCTGCCTCGAGCTTTCTGTTTTGTGACAAGCGCTATAGAAATGAATCAAAGCGTTTCGGATGTAGATATCTTCTGTGAATCCAAGTTTCACAACGTGGGCGTGGATTTGGGTCCCTTCAGCTATTGCCAAAGCCTTGCTACAAGCTTGGAGGACAAAAGGGAAGGTATAATTATTAGGCAGCAAATTACTCCTCATCATATCCGCATACAAAAGAAGTGAATCACGAGGCAATTTGCCCTTTGCAAGACATCGAATCATGTTATTCGCAGCGAAAATATTTGGGTTCCCAATCCGTCGGAAAATCTCGCAGGGATAGTCGGATGAAGTGGAAGGGGAGAGAGCCAATGCAGAAAGGAGGTGGCCCATGATCGTGTGGTTGCCGGCAAGGCCGGCGGCAACAATGTGAGCATGGACTTGTTTGACTTGCTGGACAGAAGGGCATGGAGGAAGGATAGACAGAAGAGAATGGGGAGTAGTGGTTGATGAGTAGTGAGAAATTGAATTCTGAGCTGGGAAGGAAAGGAGGAAATTGCAGGAGGAGAGAGATATGGTTGGACACTTGTGGGTAGACCGTCCAAGAGAATGAACAGTTATTAACATCCGAGTGGTTCGATTAGTCACCACTCACCACTCACAAATCATCAAGTGGCATTGAGCATGATCAACCAACAACCACAAAAGATTGCTGCAGCCATTTGATGTCTCAAATCTCAACTCAACAAAGCGCGTGCCGTCCAACGAGCACAACTGGTGGTTCTTGAGAACTGAGATGAACAACCCATATCAGAATTTGCCAAGATTTTTGGTAACTGATGAATTCACATGGTAAAATCTTAACCAGGCAAAGCGAAACTGTTTGTCATCCTCATCCATGGCGAATACGAAATACAAGCACCGGTTTTAGCACCTTCAATTAAGTCCAGATCTACCCGACAGAAAAGTCCTAAAACAACATGTAGAAACACAACCACATAGGCGTTGAGGCGCGTTTAACACCAAAACTGTCTAAACGTCCATGCCTCAATTTTCAGGAGCTCTATTTCGCTCCATCCTCAAGTATATACTTCCGCCCCGCCTTTTCATGGTGGATGTCATTTAACAAAACAAGAGACGTGGCTGAATCATCTACCGTCAAAAAAAACGAAGTAAACTTCCATAAAAAATTTGTTCAATTTTCAGGAATATTACTGTTGAGGAAACATCAAAATTCCAACGCCCCCATTACTCCCAATGGTACATTGATGTGGATCCAGCTGGATCTCACGTGGCCACTGACGTGTATGATAGGGGATTTATTCAGTACTTCGCGGCATACGTCTGTGCATAAGGGTTTTTAGTTTAGGTTTTTGTATTTGCTCGACATATTCTTAACCGCAAGCCCTCTACCGCAATATTTTTAAAAGAGAAATTCTATGATGCGAAAAAGATATGGTATGGGAAAAGTTTTAATCAATCAAAATTTACCCATCAATTTTGATGAATAACACTTAATTGACTATCACGTTTACATTCCAGTTGAATGGTAGAAGATTTTTAGATATCATTTCTTTTTCATATTATAGTCGAACCTTTTTTAAAAACCAATCCGCAATAAATATTCTTACAATCACGGTCGAGATGTGCAATTATGGCATTCGAGTTGATTGCATCTCGCCGTTCGTCATTCCGACCCATTTGTGATGGAAGAAATGGTCAAGCAGTGCCTTGTGGAGATGATTCAGGGTCTCGGAGAGTTGGCCGGGACCAACTGTGAAGCTGAAGACATTTGAAAATGCTGCACTGTACCTTGCTTCTGATGATGCTAAATACATGAGCAGCCATAATCTGGTGGTGGATGAGGCTTAACAGTGTGTTTTACCTTTTTACTTTGAAGGGTAATTTTAATATTTTCAAAAATCTTAAATCGCATATGAGGTCACACGACATAACTGATGATCCATTAACAGTATGTACTAGATTGTCGAATTTTAAAGTTTGGATTCCAAATTGACACTCGGCCTAAAGCACAGGGTACTTAGAAATTTTCTCTTTTTTTTTCTATTTAATAATCATTAAAAAATGGATTTCAAATTAGGCGTTGATGTGCACTAGCTAGAGAAACAAAACGTGTATTCCGCTTGCTACTACCATTCTTATTATTTGTTAAAGACCGTGGCCATTCTTTGGGACTGTTTTTCGGAAAAAAACGCGATGCTTACTATCCCATTTTTTGCCATATATCTGTTTGATATTATTTCTGTCACGTAGGTATTGAACATCATATTTTTTTCTCTTTTTTTTTTGTTTGGTAAGGTGATTTTCACCGATTTGTATGTAACTACACCCACTACTATGTATGATAGTGCTTGCTATAGGAAACTAACAATGCTCATCAAATGGTCCATATCAGCGGTAAAAGAGAGATTCAAAGGAGGTTGCAATCGAAACCTTACTTAAAGATCAGTTTTTGTTTTGCTGCACCTTGAAGCACCGGATTGATTCTCCTCATGACATGTCATCTCAGCACCACGTCAGGTAGCTGTTGGGTGCAACGGTTCACCGATGCACGAATCCTCGAATTAAGGGCGTCTCGATTTAGGATGCATTACTGGTTTTCCCTGATTGTTCACCGATGCACGAATCCTCATCATGTAGAAATCTAACTGCAAGTTGTTTAGATGTTATAAATTTAGCAAAATCTTGAATATAAAGGCATCTATTATAGTTCTTACCAGTAGAAAGCTGGCAAGAAGGTTGAACCTGTATGGAGAATGAGAAGTGGCCTATTCAAAGTGCTGCAAAAAATGAGTCTTAGGCTCTGTTTGTGATATAAACATGAAATTGGGGTATTTATCTATCTTGGTTCGCATTTAGGAGTGTTTGTTTGAAACGTAAAGAAGTTATGATTATTAAAGCAAAAAATGCATTTTCTGATACTTTTGTATCTATTTTTTGGATACAATTTTATGTTTATTTGAGAATTAACTTTTTGACCAAAGTTGAGGTATTGAAGCATAAGATAATTGGAGCATTTAATGATAGGCCCACACCTTTGCACCGATTTTAAACAAACAGGATGAATGCAAAAGTAATTTAAAATATGAACCTATTTGCATTCATGAACTGAAAAATAGATAAATATGTAGCATACATATTTGTGTTTGCATTACAAATAAATGCAGCCTTACATAATAATAATTATTTAATGAAATAAAATCTTTTTGCTACATTTTTTTCTCAATTTTATGGAGGTATGATGCGTTATCATATATCTGATGTAAACTACAACCGTATCAAATAATTTATTTGCTTCAAGTTTCAACGAAGATTTATTTTTATTTTTATTTTCAATATTACATTGTTATCTCGCCTGTATAATAAAATTTTTCTTTCTTGATATCCCAAAACTGGGTTTGATACTATCCATATTTCCTATGTGTTATACATTGAGTAAAGTTCTAAGAGTTCAACTGCTGTCATATGGTCTTTATGCTTGTATTATTGACAGCTTCATCATTAACATTAACATGGTGTTTGGAAGAGAGGGCGCTTTTTGAGACTGATTTTTAAGAAAAAAAAATCCATGTTTTCAAGATCTATTTTTCACAAAAAAAAAAAAACGTTTCTGCTATGTAGGCAGTGAGCAACACTATGCTGTTTGGTAAGGTGATTTTTATTACCGCTTTTCATGTGTACTGACAGGTAAGCACCAGATAGGATATACATCAGTCAACGTTGGGGGAAACGGTTCACCGATGCATAAAACACTGGTGGAGTCCCAATTTTTTAATAATCAACTGAACCAAACAATGAGATACATGAGCATTTGTTGAAACGTCTATGTGAATCCAATGTGGCACCATTTTTTTTGAAAAACGGTCACGTTTCCAAACATCCCCTAAATATGCTTATTTCAAGCTTAAAATATTCTTCAAATACTTCTTTTTTCCTGCCACTTCAATTCTCCATTGCTTAACCGGCGGGCCATACCCATATTTGAGAATGTTATTCGAATAACAATTTCGTTCTTTTCTCCCTACCCTGCTGTCATCTCTCACTGTTTCATGATTATTTTGTATTAGTTGCTTTTTTGAACCACAATTTCCAATTGCGGTGTGCACAAGACGGAAGCCGACAAAGGGGTTATTGCTACAAACCATAACTATGGTTTTGAAAACTGGATCGGACCGGACGCTCAGATCCGTTGATCTGAGAATCAGTTCTATTTCATTCTAAAACTGTTTATTTTTGTCAAAAACCATTGATTTGATTAACAATCTATTAATCCAGACAACAATTTTTACCAGTTTTTTATTTATTTTTAAGTCAGAACAGGCCATCCGTTTTGAAAGAACAGTTAGAAGTTAAAACATTTAACTCAAGGATCGGTCCCCAAAATGGTTCCATATCCGATCCCATTTTAAAAACCTTAGTTATGACTAGATTTTTTATGCATGACCATTGCTATTCTGATCATAGTTGCCTCTATGTATTAGCATTAGCCATTAGGCATTAGTATGTGTTCAAATGTCCAACTTGCTTGGCCCCAACCTTTGCGTGCATGATATAGAGGTTACTCGACAATGTTTTTTTTTCCATAAAAAGAATTGGGCAACATTTTATTCATTACATAATTTAAAATATTATATTTTTGATAATTGAAAACTAATTTCACCCAGCACCCAATAGTACATGCATCCTTAATCATGGAGCCAATTTCTATCAATAAAGGAAATAGATTATAATAACTTTTATTAATTTTAATGTTTTCATGCAATCCAAACAAATAATATACACTTATCTTCAACAACTCTAGTTACAAATTAAAAGGAATTATAATAAAAATTAGTATTTTATAAATTAATGAAATAAATCATTTATCAAATCCACATTTATATCAAAAAATAGTTTTTAGTTTGAAGAAATTTATTCAAATAAAAATATTAATATTAGAATAATTATTTTAATACTAAAAATTTATAAATTTTTGGATGATATGTATATTAAATTTTTTTATAAATTATTAATTAATATTTTATTTGCATTAAATCAAAACATATTTATCATTTACAAAAGTAAAAATATTATATACAAAATATTTGAAATGTAATATAAATTGAATTGATCAAATCCATTAATCTACATTTATATCAAAAAAATTAATTTTTATTTTAGAAAAATATAAAAATAAAAATATTAATAATAGAATAATTATTTTAGTACTTGAAATTTATGAATTTTCATATGATATATATGTATCTTCAAAATTTTAATAGACTATATATTTTTATAAATTATTAACTAATATTTTATAATAACATATTTGTTGCTTACAAAAATGGAAATATTGTTTACCAAACTTTTGAGAATGATTTTGTTAGTTAACTTTTTGGTGAATGTTAAAAATTATGAACAGTAAAATAGAAAGATTTGATTAAAAGTTCAATTATATTAGTTGCATATGTTTTGTGCCTTGAACTTTAATAGAAAATAAAATAATAACGGCTTTGTGCATATATTAATTTGTAAGAATGTATATAATATGTGTCTTGAACTCTTGATTGGTGCATTATCAATAAAATTGTATGATATATACACATCTCACTATATTAGTTGTAATATATTTCTTCATGTATACCATTAAAATATATAATTTATGTGTAGCTATTTTGACATTAAACTTAATCTTATTAATATATTTATGGAATATAATTTGTATGAATTTCCCTAATGTATCCAAGTGTTTTCATATTTTTCATCTGTATCTATGCGTTTTCAGAATGTATCTATATCCATATCCATATCTAAGTTGTCCAATACAATACCTAATACTAATACTTTGATCCTTGTTCGCACTAAGTCGATTTACAATCTGAACCCCTTATATAATAAGTAGTTCAACCTTAATATAGCCTCCAAATCCCATTGGGGCAAAGTAAAATGCTACAGTATTGTAGTCCTTATTTCTCAAAACCCCTTCTGTGTCAGGTGGACCTGGGTTGCTCTCACTACTTCCATCAAATTTCAACTTTACAAAACCTTCAAGAGGAGGGGTCTAAGATTCAATAACGACCCTCTCCTTAGTAAAGTAATTGGGTGCTATATCTGACCAAATCCTCTAGCCAGAAAAACATCAAATGAGAAATAATGAAAGGAGTCTAGAATTTTTAATCAATGTATTGCCCTTCTCAAGATATATACAATCCTTGGCTTTTAATAGGCACATTGCCTTGGAAGATTTTGGCATTCCTTCTTCCCAAGTTGTCCATGGAGAAATTGTGCCAATGTATGCTTTATAGTTGGATATGATAATTAAGTATAGGTTTTTTTTTTAATGAAAATTGAAAAATAAAAAGGGTGAGATATGGTTTCTTGGGTGCTATATTAAAATCAAAGTCATTCCAATGTTGACTTATTATGATTGGAGTATCGTGACTAGCTATTGGAGATGCAAGACCCATAGATTGGGCACCCGTCAATAACTTTTAGTGTCATTGATATTGCGCGCAATAACAAATTAACTAAAAATACAAGGTAATTTCTTATTAATATTTCCAAATGGATTGAGATTTCACACCACTTAAATTGTTTCTTTGTGTATAAAATCCAATCTAATACCCTTTGATTCCTAAGTAAAAGTACCACAACATACCTTCACATCAGTCAAACCAAAATGAACAATACATAAAAGATGAAAATCGGTCGACAACACACAAGATCGATCGAGACGTAGCTAGCAAACTTAATTCCTAGATCTCCATTAATTCTAACATTCTAAATCTTCTCTAAGTTGTTAATTTATATTATTACCATCCTCTGCAATATTATTTTGTTCTCTCTTTCTCTCTAGCTAGCTGCAAGCCCCATACGCAAATCCTAACCTTTGTGCAGGCAAATCATAGATCACCTCAAAAGTCCGTTGTTGGCTGTTACCAACAATGACCAGTTCTTCATCAGAGCTATTTGGCAGAAATGCTAAGCAATAGTGAGCATTGCCAAGATGAATAAGAGCTCCTGAAAGTGGGTCCACCTTGATGTCTGTACCTCCTCTAAAATGCAAGACGATGGGAGGTACACTCACTGTTTCGTACCCGCTCAGGTCATAGCATGTGTCGAAATGTGATATTGGCTTTGCCGGTGGGAAGTTTGACATGAGCACTGCTTGCTGAAAGGCCGACTTGAGGGCACCATAGGCCGTCGGAGGTAGGCGACTGATAACAGTGCCGGAATCTATGATGGTTCCTTGTGTTGTAAACACTGAAGGATCAATAGGCAATCTTTGTCCCCCAACGCTTATTCCTATTAATGGGACGTAATAGTAGTCTGGATTGCTCGAGTCTATTATTAACTCAGTGTAGCTCACAGTAGTAGAAGAGGTCGTAGAACCTGCTTGGTCACCAAATGCCAAGAATCCTGTATAGCTTTCGGAGCTTGGGAGACAATAAGAGAAAATTCTTCCAAATGTATTAGCTGTTTGAGACACCAGAGACACTTGGCGGGGGCTTAAACCAAGAATTCCGGATGTGTTATCGGACAGATTATTGTTCTGGCCACACCCAAACCGAAAACCAGAGAAGACATCAGAGGGTGTTAGTGTGAGTGTTTCCTGTCCGAAGAGCCCGATTGAGAAGTCTTCATCACCATAATGGATTTCGTACACACAACCGGAAGCGGAAGTGCATTGCGTGGAGGATCTAACTTGAGAGCATTCGATTGATCCACAGGCGAAGCTGGAATAAGAGGATGATATGGAGTTGTCGAAGATGGGTGCGGAGCAATCAATACAGGGTTGGCATCGGACCCAAGTCAGGTCGCTACCGGTGTCCATGACCACCAAAACATCTTGCTTTGGTGTGCCGAGTCCGATGCTTACAATGAAGTCTCGAGTTCCAAGAGAGAGACCAGACTTGGTTGGAATTGTAACCTTGGAATCCCCCAGACCCAGAGGACCGCTTTTGTTTATTCTAGATTGAATGGAGCGGACTCGGAGTTCATCTTGGAGGAGGATTTCTTCTAGGCTGGGAGTTGTCTTCCTTTCTTTGCTTTGTGGTGAACAAGGCCCATTTTTGTGTACTAAGTGTAATTTTCCGTAGTGATAGGAACCTGAAATTAACCATTGAAAATCGCTCATTTCAGATACCATATTATGTTGTTCCTCTCGCCTTTTCCACACAATAAATACAAATTGGCTTCATTATACAACCTCTTACAAATCCAAAAATGTGAAACATGAAATATGAAATATTCAAGTGGCATGGGAGAACTAAAATGCATATGGAAGTAGAGTGCGATTTGGTATTGCATTAATTCGAACTTGAACAGCCTTTCCAAGAAAAACCAACTAATCGAAACGCAAAGGTGGTCAGTAGGAAGAGCCTCATAAAAATAAGAAACTTAGTATATATTGAAAACAAGCAGAAAATACTGGGGGTGTTTGCCATTTAGCTAATATGATTTTGTTTTTGAAAATTTACAAACTTAAAGGGTATTCTTCAATGTGAATTGTTTAACTTGTTGTCAGTTCCAAAAGCAAATCAAAACTATTTGGTTTGGAAATAAATAGGTTCTCAAAGTAAAAATACTGAAAACATGATTATATATATATATATATATATATATGCTTTTCTGTTTCCGAAACTGAAAGAAAACAAGTGTTCTTGAATTTCTGATTTAAAAAACAATATGTTTTTTGTACTACAAAATTTGCTTTTATTTAAAAAAAGAAAATACGAATTATTTTAAAGAAACAAACCAACTTGTTTTCGACTTTTCAAAACAATAAAGAGAATTTGGCTGTCCATGTTTGACATCATGCTGTCCACTGGGCTCTCCTGAATGGCACGTTAGTTGATACATCCTTGCGGAAAAACTTCGGCCTGGCCTGTTTGAATTAGCTAATGTGTCATGTGTAGAAGCTCCCAAAACAGCCCAGGCTGTTTAATTTTTGCAAACAGCCAAAGTGACCTCCATCCATGTCTTCAGTACTGTTACATGGAATTAATGCATATCTTTGACAGCACAGGATGTCAAGCATAGAGAAACAAAACTTTCTCGGAAAATATAGTTCAAGAAAAGTTTTTTATTGTGGCAATTTCAAAGAAGAAAAACAGGCATCCTTGTCGTAGAACGTCACCAATTAAATCATACACATTGACCAACACCCCCTAATCGAGCTACCTTAAAAAGGAGTCCCTACAGAGAAAATTTAACCTCTCATACCTTTGGTGGGTGATGAACAACTTGTTGCAGGCAGTAATGGTTTAACTGCAATCTCCACTTTCTCTCCTCCATGGGCCTTAACGTTATACCAAGTACTGGAGAAGAGAAGTAAAGAAGAAATTATTGAAAGGAGAACACTAAGGAAAGAAATGTGAAGAGTGGCCATAAATAGCTAGTTAATTAATGTTCTTCTGTTCTTGGAGTTGTAACGATTGTTGTTGCTACTTCTACTTATAGAGGTAAGCAGCAATAATTCATACAGCCGTGTATGCCACTTCAAACAAGAAAATTGAATAGAAAATTATTAATGTCAAGAAGACTTGCACGAAACTTTCGATCGGTCTAAAATAAAAAAACAAGAAGAAGACTTACAGTAGACTTTCGATAAGAAAAAAAAGAAGAGTTACAGAAGACTGAACAAGAAGACTTACAGTAGCTTACAACTTGCAAATTAAATCAACTTAATTATTAGTGACAGGGCAGTTTAATCATCTGGGCATCATATCATTGCCCATACAAATGCGTGCACAGGGATCTAGGACATAGAATTCTTATTCATCCATTGGTTGAATGGGTTGCCAGATCGACCAAGTGTCAATTAATTGGAGCATTAAATGTGAGAACTGGTTCCTGAAGAAGAGTCTGATCAATGATATAATAATACACGAGGAGGAAGTTGCCGTGAAAGAATAAGTTTAGAGACTCATAGGGAAGAACAGCCTCCGCCATGATATACACGAGGGGGAAGCTGCTGTGAATTCACAGCAGCTGAAAGGGGGTTTAGAGACCTGGAGGTCCTATTTATTTATTGGTAAGTTTGGACTGGGCTGGGGTGGGGGGAGTTGACCAACTTTACTGGCTAAAATAACTATACTAACTACTATTGGGATAAGTGGATTGCAATCCACCTCATAACTATTTCCCCTAAAAGTCCTACCCTTCTCTTACGTGCATAACTTACATTTTCACTAAGTCAGACTTGGTCATAATAATAGGGCCATGGGCTCAGGCTCGGGCTTGGGCCTATAGCATCGGGCCCGACTATATTTTTGGATCAGGATTGAGCTTTTTCAAAAAAGTCTGGCCCAAGCCCGAGTCTGTCTTGATACTATATTAAATAATAAAATATATTTTATTTAATAAATATATATAATATTTTTTGTTTTTTGTTTTTTTCTTTTTTTCCAAGTAATAATGAGATGTTTATTATTTTTGAGTTCTGAAGGTTTTTAAAATAAACAAAACACTTTTTTATTGAATGAAAAAGAAAAAAAAATATGTTTTCAAATTTCTAGTCGGGCCCGGGCTTCGGGCTTTATATGAGGGCCGGGCTCGGGCCTGAGTGTATTCTATTGATACATATAAAAAGCCCGACCCGACCCATGAACAGGTCTACTTTTCACCTAGAGCTGTAAAGTGGCTTGTATCGCTCATGGGCTGACACAGCTTGTCGCAATACCGGTCATGTTAGGTGTGGTGCAGTCACTATAGCAATTGGACTATGTTGTGTTTTGGTTTTGAAGCTCTAGTCTAGCACAACACGACACGACATAGCCCACTTCACGGGCTGGCATGGCATGACATGAAGCTAGTCCACTATGGGTCATATTGACCCACTTCAAATATAACCGTTGGGGAGGTCCCCACTGGCTAATTTTTTCTTTTTGGGATGATTTTTACATAAATACCCCTAACAATTATAAACAAATAATTTGGAGGGTATTTATGTATTTTAGCTTTGAGGGGAGGAAAAATGATAAAAATGCCCCCCCTAAGGCCCTAACAATTGTATAACAACTAATTGGGGGGCATTTTGGTTGTGATAATTAACTTTGTGAAAGACCAAAATACTCCTTTCAACAACTTTAAATTGACTGGTTTTAAGGGTATTTTGGTCAATTAAATTAATTCCAATTCCTATAAATACCCTTACCCTTACTCATTCTCATGACACCAATTCTCATATTCTCTGATACTTTCTTAATTCTTGCTCTCTAATCCCTAATTCTCAAATTAATTCAAGTTTTAATAAGAAAAAGATTTGCTCAAGTATCAAATTAGCAATTTGGGAGGCTTAAAAGCTTTATCACCTGAAATTAAGTTGGGATTTTGAATTGGTAGATCGAGTAAGTAGTAATTAATTTTCACCCTTTAAGGCTTTAATACTATAATTTTTTTTTTAAATGATTGCTTTCTCTCAAAATCCCTTTCCCAACATGTTCGTCTTTGAGGATGTCTAGTTACAATGCTACAACATTGAGATGGGTGCTAGTAGTTTTATGGCTGATGTTGTCAAAGACCCCTAGTATTACTAATAGGAGTGGAAGGAAAGATCACCCAAGGGCCAAGTCTAGAAAATGTTTATTATAAAAACTTTTGCGAGGAAGGGAAAAACTTAATGTAAGAGTGATTTTAGTTATAGCAACAAGGATGGTACTAGCCATTTGGCTAGAAATATGGCTAGTCATGTGAAAAATAAAAACAATCCAAATTAAACACAAATTTGGCATGGGTTTTTGATAATTTTGATTAATACTGAAAAAAATGAGATAAGAATTAGTTAAGTATATTGTGCATGTTGAAAAACCATTTTTATTAGCTAAAGAACCTAAGCTAAAAAGAGTTCTACAATAACCAATAAATTTCCAATTTTAAGAAGTTTCTAGAAATACTATTAAAGAAGATGCTCTAAAAATTTTTATTCATATAAAGAAAATTAAATTCCTACCTTGTCAAAACTTAATTTTAAAATTTTACTTACATCTAATATTTAGACTTCCAAATATAATATTAATTATATTTTTGTTATGGGGCATTTTATTAATAAAAATTGGTTTTTATAAAAAAGAATTTTAACTTTTACAAGACTTAAAATGACCACATACTGGCCCAAAAATTGTTGCTAGTATAATATCAAGTACTTTACTTAAGGAATTGAAAATAATGATTTTTCTATTAGTTCTGATAATGTTAGTAATAATGATTCAACAATAAAAATTTTAAGATCTCAATTAAAACCACATTTAATTAGTAAATTATTTCATATTAGGTGTGCATGTCACATCTTAAACTTATGTGTACAATATGCTTTAAATATTATTTTTCCACAGACTTTTAAAATTAGAAATTGTATTATGTATATTAGAAGTTCTAGAATGAGAAAACAAGAATTTAAATGTTTATGATAAAAATATGGTCTAATATATAGAAATTTCATATTAAATGCTCAATATAGTTGTCAAAAATATGGTGTAAATATAGAAATTTTATGTTAGAAAGTTGTTTTTCATATAAAGGCATTCCTAATAATTTTAACAATGAGAAAATGCCCCGTAATTTTATAACTAATGATGATGATAATTGGAAAATTGTAATTTGTATAAAAGACATTTTACATATTTTTATGATACAACTAATGCATTTTTTAGGTGTATATCAGCTATTATTTCGTGTTTTAGTCAATCAATTATTTATAATTAGTGTTTTTTTAAATATAGAAAGAATTCACAATTTCAAAATATTATTGAAGTAATGAAATTTAAATTTAAAAAATATTTCTCCAATATATTTCTATTTGCAATATTAAATCCTAGGATTAAAAAATGGTTTAAATGTTTTACATGAATCTTATTATGAAAATATGTAAAGTGAAATTAGAACAAAAAATGAAGTTAATAATTTATTATTTGAAATGTATAGTGCATATGAATCTCAACTATTATCACTGTAACAAATTCCCTCAACTTTTAGGAATTAAATAACTTTTATATTTTAGCCAAATAAAAGAAGATGGAAAAAGTTATCCATATATTGCTTGCCACCATGGCATGTGATATACTAACCCCTCTAGTATCCATAGTTCCTTTGGAATCTTATTTTAGTGCAAAAATTAAGATATTGGATGATAATATAAGCTTCATAAAC